TTTCCTCGGTAAAGGAGGTGGTTGAAGAACTAGTTTTGTGGCTGTTCTTATGACTCTACGTCTCTCTGTAGACCGGCATAGCCTGAGAACTGAGCCTTACAACAGCTGATGTAAGGAGGATCTAACAATATTGCAGCTAGTTTGGAGAAGAGAAAGAAGAATACCTGTGATCCTGTGACCCTACCCTGACTATCATCATTTTCACATAATCCCATTAATTGGCCAATAAACTTAAAGAGATCAGAAGACCTTTTCACTTTACATGGCTCACAAGCATTTTCCATATTTCTACATCATCCTCACACTCGTTATTTAAATAGTTGCTTAATTAACTGGATACATATTAACTTAACTAACTGGATGTACATGAATTTGGGTAGTTTGAACTTCTTTAACATTCTGAGTAAATGTAATGAAAATTGTCAGTGCTCTTCTTTTTCCTTCTCTGATATTGCCAACCCTTTCTGGATTTTAACTGCAGCAAAAGAAATAGGGCAGGATGTGTGTGTGTGTGTGTGTTTGGAGTGGGGTATAGTTTAGAGTACACTGCCACTCTCCATGGATGCCGCGCATGCTGTCAGCCATCTTTTTGTGCAGGGGGTCTGCTCTGCAACTTATGCCTATCTTGGAAGGACTTGGCCCTGTCACTGAGCCTGCTTTACCTCTCTAATTTTTAAAACAAATTATCTGATGAAAATGATTCTAAAACCAATCTGTGACCTGAGTAGCAGGGTTCCAGAGAGATTTTTTCCTTACTGATTAATTATGTAGATAAACAAATATTTGTCGAATATCTACTATGTACCTAGTAGGTGTTGGGAATATAGCAATGCATAAAACAGACTAAAATCCCTGTCCTAACAGAGCTGACAGAACATTGCTGTTCCGTATACACTGGTGAGACAGAAACAATGAATAAATACATATACAATTTAATTCCAAGTGATAATAAGCATGAAAGAAAAGGGGAGGGGATAGAGAGCTGGGGGGGGGGATTTTTAAACTTTTTTAAATTAAAAAAAGTTTTTTAGAGGTGAGATCCAGAGGCCCAGGCTGGGCTCGAGCTCTTAGGCTCAAGTGATCCTCCTTCCTCGGCCTCCTGAGTAGCTGGGACTATAGGCGTGTGCCATCACACCTGGCTTGGAGGAGCTTTTTTAGAAAGAATAGTCAGGACAGCCTCTGTGAGCAGGAGATGTTGGAGCTGAATGAGCTGAGAGGTCCAGCCATGCTTTGGGAGGGAGAGTGAACTAGGCAGAGGGAACAGCAGGTGCTAAGGGCCTGAGGTAGGAGTTTAGTGTTTTCAAGGAATGGCCAGGGTGGCAGGGAGGCTGGAGTGGAATGAGTGAGTGGGGGGTGGTGATAAGAGACGAGGTCAGAGAGGTGGGAGTGATGATGAGGCTGTCTCAGGGGAGGTCTGTCCAGCATGGGCCTTGGGGATGTGGGGAGTCAGGGCAGGTGCTCTGTCATCTAGGAACCCCCCCCGCCGCCGCCGTCCTGGTTCTGTGGGAGGATATAGCTCAGAGCAGGAGACAGAAATAAATCATTTTAACGTCTGGTGGTAGATGTTTTCAGAACCCAGAACCCAAGGGAAATTAGCGAGGCAATGATTTTCTCTCTTTTTGTTTGACTTCTGTTTAATTTATCTTCAGGACTAGCATTAATTTGAAGATACTGGAAAAAAAATTCAAAGTACCTGGAAATCTAGTTAAGCAGTCAGGATTCTTTAGCTCTTCAAACCAGAGGCAAGAAAAAAGGGTGGTGTTTTTTGTTGTTGTTTGTTAAAAGAATGAACATAGACTATCTTTCTCCCATTCTCCCCTTTTTTTCACCCGGGATTGTCTGGGCCTGAGAGCGAAGATGCCATTCGAGTTCCACAGGTTAAGGGCGTACATCCCCCTTGTTTACAGGAGAGATGTTTCAGCCAGGTTTTGGTAAAGTAAATCTTGGGAGAGTGAATCCCGTCCACCCTCTGCTGCTGGCCGTGCTGAAACTTGCATAGCCACAGGTCAGGACACGCCAGGTCTCTTAAGCCAAAAATCCAGAAGTATCAGCAAATGCAGGGACCACCAGGCAATCCTTTATGTCTCAGCCTGGCAAGGAGTTCGTTCCAGAAAGATGCCATCACTAACTCATTGTGTGATTTGGGGCAAGTTTCTGATCTGTAAAATGGGAGTGGGGGTAGGGTAGGATGTGTGTTGGGCTAGAATGATAGCCGTTGACATTTTCAGCTTTTAAATTCCAAAGGATAAACATAAGGGAGCCTTTTAAGCAGGCTTAATTGGCAAAGATGAAGGTGGAAACAGCAGGAACAGCTGCAGGGGGACAGGGCCCAGACTGAGTTCCTACAAGCTGAAGGGATTCCAGAAGGACAGACAGCTAGTGGGAAAGAAGAGCGAAGGTGGGGAGGAGGGGCGGGACGTGGAGGAGCGAGTGGAAGCCAGGTGGCAGCGGAGGGATGGGGGCGCAGGGCAGAGGGCATGGCTTTCTGATTGGATGTGAGCTCCTCGGCCTCTTTAAAGTGGAGCTTGAGGAGCAGCTGGCTTCTCTGTGAGAGTCAGTCAGCTTAGCTGTGGGAACCTGACGTGAGCCCCTGAGGAAGGGCTGGGTTGTATATCCTTGTTCCTGGGCCCCTGTGACAGCATGTGGCATAGAGATGAGAGCAGGGACCATGCAGTTAGAAGGTGCCAGCCTGAATCCAGCGGTGGTGCTGGAAGCACTAGGGCACAGGTTTTGGGCTCCCCCAGCCCTGCCCAGTGAGCTCCACCATGTCCCCTCAGAGACTCCGCACATTAACACACACACTAATTCTGCGTCCTCATTGTGTAGATGCAGCTTCCAGACAAGTCTCCGGGATCCTTCCCTGCCAGATGGTGGCTCTAAGGCCTCTCACATAGAAGTTCTAGAACCAGCTGCTTAAATCCTGGCACTGCCGTTTGTGGGCAGTGTGTGCACCTACGAGTCACTTAGCCCCTCCAAACTCTGGTTTCCTCTTGGAGGAGCGGAATCATGGTTACCTTGCAGGATTGGGCCAGTTTCCTGAGCTCATGCTCACGAGGCTCTCTGTCCAGTGTCCTGCACCCAAGAGGAGGCCAGGAAACGTTCTTTCCTTTCCCTGTCCCACATTAGGAAAAGCTGCAAAAGACTTGGATTGCTGGGTGCCCTTTCTATGGAACCTTTCTGGGTATTTATCTGATGCTATTGGGGTCTGTGTCTTTGACTGGGCTACTTACACTATTCCAAACACTGCATTTTACTGACCTGTAGATATGAACCAGTTTTCTGTCTGTTAGCAAATTCATTTCAGCATTCCTGACTGTCCAGATGTGTCTGTCCTTTAGGTTTTCCTTTGAAATGATTGTAACATCTTACTGGTTGCTTTATTAATTGATGAGTTAAATGACATCTTTGACATGTGTTCATTTTGTATTTGTCTGACTCATGACTTCACCTTTGAAATGATATTTTCAGGAACACCCACTTCCCTGATGATGCATAAATCATTAATTCAGATCAGAGTTTCATTATCCAGTCTGCACTGCTGATTTTATATTAAATTCCAAGTTTCTCATTCATCCCCCAACCCCAGTACACACACACACACACACACACACACACACACACACACACATACACACACACAGGGGCACATTCTATCCCCATTCACACCCAATGTCCCCTACACACCCATAAATATAGTGTTTTTTGCAAGGAGGGGGTGCTAAAAACACAGGCATCTGGATATTTTGGATTGAGTGGGCATTGGATACCTATGATATGAGGCAGTCTTGGAGACCACATTGTAGGGAGTGAATGAGGTAGGACTCTCAGGAGGGAATAATATTGTGTGTTATCTATTTGGAGTCTAAGTTTTACACTGAATCCCAACTTCAGCTCAAATGAAGGAATTGCACTGACCCAGTCTTCCTGGGGCTCCCTCTGAGGACTTTCATAGGGTCCTGTCTCCACCACTAAGGGAGATGGCACTGCTTGCCAGCCGTGGGAGATGGCGGGCTGGGTAGAGCCCCTCTGTGACCACCTACAGATTTGCCAGTATTGTTTTCAATGTCTTTCCCTTTGGGGCTGTCATGTTCTGCTGCACTGGGCCACCTAAGGCCTCTACTGGACAAAGATCTGAGGTTCCTGGAGGCCTCAGCAGGGGGCATGGGAAGGCTGCACTGTGGGTGGTGGGTACTGGATCATCTCTGGTTGTCCCCTCTGACGAGTTCCCTTTACTGATCCCTGTAGAGAACCAATGGATGGATTGGCTTCTGCCCTGGGTAACTACCAGTCCTTCCAACACGCCCACTGACTTTAAAATACGTCAGGGCTCCAGGAAAAGCAGTCACAGGGTCTTCTCTCCACCACCAACTACAGTCTGGGACCAGCAGCACTGATGTCACCTGGGAGCTTGCTCAGGCTGCAGCCCAGACTTCTGCATCAGAATGTGCAGTTTAACAAGATTCCCAGCGTGATTTCTACGCACTGAGGGGTTTAAGAAGTGCTAGAGTGATGAAAATCCCACTAACCTAAGAGTGCTAAACCCTCAAGTCTGTGAATCTCGTTAGCTGGGGCATGTGGCCAGTCACCATCACCCCTCAGAGCCTGTTTCCTTATCTGTAAAGGAAGGACAATTACCTCTGTGCCACAGGGCCCCGGAGCAATCAAATGCATGCAAAAGCACTACCCAGTATTGCCCTATAACTTGTTTAAAAGCCAAGAGAACCTCAAGGAAACCTTGGTGTGGGGTGGGGTTGGCTGATGAGAGCAGGGGTCAGGGTGGCCAGGGCTGAGCCCTGGAGCTGGCCACAGAAGGCCCCTTTGCTGGCTGCCTGGCCTGCAGCAAGGAAGTGAGCTCCATGCCTTACCCTCGATTCCCAATGCCTTTCTGGGACATCTCCTACAGGGGTTCATCCTAGGGTGCCGCATATCAGCCTTCCCTCCTTGCATGTTCTCGGGACTAAATGGAGCCTTTTGCCCTCAGTAGATGCAGGGAGTGAGGGGCAGAATGAAATCACTTTAATAGCATAGCAACATTTTAGGACCAGGAGTCACAGATGAAGGAAACATTTTGTCTTCCATTTGCACAATTCTGCTGAGGTGTATGGTTGTACTGGACAATCTTACAGACAGATTTTTCACATTGAGAACTTAATAAATAGATACTTAAAATGTCAAACTTCAGAGACAACGAGTTATGAGTGTGATTGTTTTCTTATTCTGTCTCCTCTGGGTCAGGAGGTTGCTTCCTGGCGGGCTGACGGAGGCCAGGTCCCCTAGGAGGGGTACTCGTACTCCTCGGCACTGCGCCGGCCGAAATCCATCCAGCCCATGTAGTCCCGGTCACTTATCCTGTGGCTGGGGTCCAGGCTCTGCAGGTTCTTAATGATGGACATTCGGCCAGAAGGAGCTGCAAGGAACAGGGAGGAAGGAAACAGGGGCATCACTCGTTCCGTTAGTGAAGGAGAACAGTGGGAAAAGCCAGACAAAAAATAGCATAGACCTTCTTAAAGGTATCAAGGAGCTATCAAGGCAGTGGAATTACTGGACCAAAACCTAAGAGAGGAGAAAGACCCATGTCTGTGTAACTGGAGAGAGGGCAATATTTACTAGTTATGGGAGTGTTTTTTGTTCTAGGAGTATTTAGGAGGATTCATTTCCTCCTGCCTTGCACAGTCTGGGCCCTTCTATAGGTTCTCCTATAGTCTCCCTGCCCCTAAGGGTGCTTTGCTTGTGTAGATGAACCAAGTAATTCCCCAGTACTTGCCCATTTCCAAATTTCACCCCTTAATATCCCTGAGCATCCGTGACGTGTTTGGAGAGCTCTTGTCATTAAGGTAGTGCGATTACCTTATCTTTATGTTGGAATGATTTTTTAAAAAATGGAATCAAGTCCCATTGCTATATAAATAATGTTTAAAAATTATTAATTTGAAAATTACCTTCTTTTAAAAAAAATTATGTTCAGACAAAGACACATTGTCAGATCAAAGTCTTGGCACCTCAGTAACACTCAAAGAAGGGTGGGCGAGAGATGATAATAGAGGTGATTTAAGTCAGCCATTTTGACCAAAATGTAATAACTGAACCTGAAATGGGCCCTTTAGGACGGACGTCAAGTCTTCAGGAACAGGGTGATCCTCCTGTATAATTCACACTACGGGAGCAGGGACATGAGGAGGTAGTTTCTTGGGAGGCATGCAACACATAGTCCTAGCCCACAGGACAGACAGTGGCCTCAGGGGTATGAAATCAGTATAATGCCTTCTCCTGTGCAAACTAAGAGTTAAGAAAGGGGGCTCTTCGGGGGCCTCCATGGACAAAGCCCAGGCCTATTCTGGAGTAGAAGAGTGGAGGCTCACTCAATGGTTCCCACTGTGTTGGGGCTCACCGTGTCCCTACGTCTGCTGATGCTGGCGTACAGCCCTTCCGCATGAGGCTGCCCTTGCCAGCTCCTGCCCATAGGCGGAGTATAGGCAGACTGTGGCTTATTTACTGATGAATGACACTGCAGAGGCAGTTATCCTGTCTTACTAGGTAATGCAATTAAGTAAGCTAAGTTATAAAACAGAAACGACATCCCCATCTTTCTCTCCCCACCCCTGTCCACTCCCAGTTTTGGAACTAAGAATCAACTCTGCACATTCCAGCCCTTTTTGCAGACATCCCAGCCTATGCAGAAGAAAAACAGCCCCTGCTGTTTAATTGTTCAACACCTTTCACCAGCAAAACCTGCAGACCCAATTACCTGTATATAGTTACACGGAAATATGATCCATTCTCCTGCCTGCTCTGATGAAGAATGCCCACTCTAAGGGCTGGGCACAACCTGAATATCCATCTAGTGGAAGCAAAGTGACAGCTTCAATGTGAACAAGCAGCCTCGGTTGTTGGTGGGGGCACCATGTTCAGGCATGCAAGCGGCATTTATTACACGCCTCAATTTCCCCATTCCCTATACAGCTCTGTCCTCGTGTCGTGTTTTTACCAGAGTCCTCACTCATTTTCCCATGCTGACATAGACTAGGGGCTCACAACTGATCTATGGAATTGAATTGAAGGGCCTGGCTCCTTTACACTTTATAAGGCAGGGTGGACAGTACAGCTGGAAAGCCGCACGGCTTCCAGATCCTTTGGGGAGGATGGGACTTGGAAGAAGTCTCAGCCCTCCTGCTGCCTAGATACACAACCACATGTAGATTATTCATGCTTCTAGAGCCCCAGCTTCCACCCTGAAAAAATAGGTATAATAGTACTTACTGTTCAGGACTGTTGTGAGGACTGAGAGAGACAATACAGATATAGCATCAGGGCTTTCCCGGGCATGGGGCAGGTGTACACTAAATGCCACTAGATGCCTCAACCCGACAGCCCTCCAATAGAACCACTTCTTCACAGACCATTGAAGGCTGTGCAGATAATTCCTAATGATAAACTTTTTTTTATTTATTTAAATTTTTTATTCTTAATTATTATGGTTATATAATAGTTGTCCTGACGATAACCTCTTAAGCACTGCTCAGAGAGTGCATTGTCATGTTTAGAACCTTTAAGCATAATATATACTATAGTTGAGTAAAAATATGACATGATCTCAAAATATGCAAAATAGTCGAAGAAACTGTGCAGTATCTAAATGTGTAAGTATTTATTCCTAGTGCACATTTGTCAAATAGAAGAACATAATTGTTTTCTAGCTAGCATTGATCCTGGGTTTTGGCAGCTAAATTTCCAAATGACTGCTATTCCCACCTGGATTTGTTTGGCACAATAGGCTGAAGGCAGAGGAAGAGGGGAGTTGAGAAGAAGGCCTAGGAAGAACTTTCCAGCTGAGATTTGTACTATAAGAGCCATTGTCAAGTGTTGGTTCTAGGAAATAATTCGGTAACTAGCTTTTTTGCTAGAACAGTTTCTCTCGGATCTTCCCTAAAGTTGGGGAGGGGGATTCCAGATTTATGGCTCAATGAAAAGCCTAGGATATATATTTCATACTGGCATGGCTGAAATTCAACCCACAGCTGAAGACAGATACTGAATTACTTTCAGACAGAGAATCAGAAGGAACCTAAAAGCCTTCAGATTTCTCTGTCATTTGACTAGTATTTCCATCTCTTTCAAGCTAACTAGCAGGAAAGCAAAACAGAAGGTGGTAGTTGGAGCAATTTCCCAAAGAGAGGAAGAAATATAACCAATTACCTTGTTCCTTCCTTCTGAATCCCCTGGTCAAGGAATTCCAGTCTCAGCTTTATATGAAACCCCAGGAGACTCAGGGGAGCAGAGCCCTCCATTTTCTCCTTCTCCAGTCAAGCCATGGGTTAGGGTTCAAATTCAGGCCCGGCACACCAGTTGGTTAAGAGCGCTTCATGGCAAAGGGGACCCACCTCCCACATCCCTCCACGGTGTTTGCTGAATGGTGTGTTTGTCCAGTTTAGCACACTGTCCCACAGCCAGGGTTCATCGTCAGTGTCACCATGGCCAAAGTTGGTAGAAAAAACTGCCTCCAATCCAAAACATGATTCCCGTCCGTGTGGCTCCCAGGTGCTGTGCATTTACAGCAGAGGGTATTCGGTACATCTGGGAACCCTTTTCTAGGGGTCAGTTATTATCTTTTAATGTCTTCATAAAATGGTGTTGAACTTAAACAGCACCACTGCTAAAAATTTGTTCAAAGAAAGCTCTTTAAGAAGGTTCCCCTTACTAATAAATTAAGTCCTCCACGCTATCTCTGTTTGCTACACAGGACGTCCAGAAAACTGCAGAGTCCAGTGCAGTGTAACTCAGGAAAGGAAAGTGAAAAATCTATCAGTTTAACGCGTCGTCTATGTTTCCCACCTAGAGGTTACTTCCAACAGGCAGGCGCTAGAGAAGAGGCTCAGGATTGGGAGCCGGGGGCAGGGGCCAAAGTGAGGGATGGGGAGGCAGCATCCTTACCTCTCCGGGCCTGCTGGATGTATCTGGCCAGCAGCGCGCCCAGGTGCGCTCGGGACTCGTCGTCCGTCCTCTGCACTGCCCTCAGCTGCCTCCGGGGCGCCTCCTCTGCCCGGGGCACCCCGGAGCCCGCGGGATCTGCCGGGGACACGGGCTGCGTCAGGGCGCCCGCCGCCAGCACGGCCATCAGCACGCACAGGCACACGCCCCCGTTCATTGCTGTGGAGAGCAAAGGAGGAGGGGGTGTTCACGGAAAGGCTCGGCATCCGAGGCCTCCTGCGAGGGCTCGGGCACCCAGAAGCAGGCTCAGACCAAACGCGGGCGCTCCAGACCTGCCAGGCAGGCGCAAGCCCCAGGACTCGCCAAGTGCAGACCCCAGCCCAGGGCCCCGACGCACCCAATGCCCAGGGGCGGAGAGAGACCCTGTTTTCTGCCGTGTTTAGCAGAAGGAATGTATTCTGCTTTCCTAAAGTTTGAGGAACCTGTTGTAGTGTGCCTGTCTTCTAACGGGAAAAGCATGGGATTAAAGATAACGTGGAAAATACCCCAAAGGGAAGACGCCGTGGGAGGAATGAGACCCTCGAAGAAAGGAAGCCCCTTTCCAGATACCTACGAAACTTTCGATATGGAAATACAGTAAATGGTGGAAAAAGAGAAGCACAGTTTAAAACGTAGGAGCAATAAAAGCCATATTTATAAAGTTTTCTCAAGGTGCACATGGGACGTGGCAATAAACCACTTCGCAAAACACAGGTAGGGTTTTAATAATGAGAAATATGTGCCCAGCCCTCAGTCGCTGCCAAAGCCCCGCTGCATTTTAGATCCGGTAACAGATAAAACACCCGCACGTTTCTCTCCCTCCCCAAAAGCTTTGAAATTTCTTCAGTATTTAGAAAATGAATTTAAGCCTTCAAACCTCTTGGCATTTTATTTGAAAATCCCGATTTGCATGCGAATCCTAGCGAATGGGTACTTCAGCATGGTATGCAAAAGAGAAGAGCGATGCGGGCGTGGGACAGTCTCCAAAGCGGCTCTACCCACCCGGCCCTCATTTTTAGATCCACAGCCCTCATTTCTGACTTTCAGAAATGTCTTCACAGCTGTCGAAGGGAAGACACGGAAAAATAAAAAAATAAAAAAGGCAAAGGGGTACAACACTGAAGACAGCATTCTTCAAAGACACAAGGCAGCTGAATGCCCCGCGGGCGAGCGGAGGGACCTACCTTCGGCTCGGACGCCGCCGGCTGAGCGTTCCCACCGAGCAGCCCCGCCGCGGAGCCGAGTTCAGGGTCGCCGGGCGCGCGGCTGCGTCTTAAATAGCCCCGCCCGGCGCCGCGGGCCAGTCATCTGTCTACCCAGCGCTGACGCAGGCCCGCGGCAACACGTGCTGGGGGGGGGGGCGGCCACTGGCGACAACCGTTTGAAGAGGCTCCTGGGGGAGAAGAAATAGCCCAGTGGAGGGGGTTGGCGGGACGCCCTGTGTCCAGTCCCCCTCCCTGTCCAAGGAGCTTCCGCCCCCAACCCCGTCCCGCTGCCTCCCCGCCGCGCGGTCCCAGCGGTGCTCTCCAGGGTGGGGAACGTCGGTTTCTGGAGTTTCCTCCCGGAGGGATGGAGAAACTGCCCGGGTTTAGTCCGCTTTGGGGCCACAAAGGAAACCGAAGGGACACTAGGCAGGGCTGAGAGCCAGCAAGGCGTAACTCCGAGGGGGAGGGGGCTCTGGCCTTTGGACCCGTGTGGGCTCCCTCGCGGGAGGGAGGAGGCATCTGGGTCTTCGCTTTCTACTCAGCCCCGTTAATAGTCCTTCTCGAAGTTCCCCAAGATTCCGAGGGCGACAGTTCCCGGGCCAGTGAAAGGGCTCCAGCCACCGTGGGCCAGCAGCGTCCTGGGCCTCTTCTTCAGCAGCTGTAAAATGGGATGACCGTCTGGCTTTGCTCAGAGGCAGATGCCTCTGGTTTGGGAAAGGGCTGAGTTTTCTTCCCGGGCTGGGTTATCCCCCTCCCGCGGCGCCCGCGGCTCCTCTTAGGAGTGTCTTAGGGAGCTGGCTCCCCACCGACTCCCAAGCTCGGGTCGGCAACGGCATCCACCGCTCCCAGCCTCCCGGAGTACTCACATCCCTGGGCTCAGTCCCCGCCAGAACCCGGGCTTCTCGGCCTGGAGAGCAGGGCCTGGCCCCTGCCACTCACCCGCCCGGAGGAGGGAAGGGAGGCACCGAGGCTGAGGCTGCCGTGCGCCTTTCCCTGCGCTGTTGCTCACCTGGCTGCGCAGCGGGGCCACCCGAAGTCGTGGTCATCTACACCCGAAGCCCTTGGGGTTGGAGTTTGCTGGCTGGTGCTTCAGCTCACGCGTCCCTGCAAAGGAACTGCCAACCCCATTTCACAGACGGCAAACCGCAGAGCGAGGAAGAACAGCGCCTCGCCAAGCCCCTCCGGGCCTCTGTGCACCGGGGTCTCCCAGCCTGGAACCTGGGGACACCACGGGCCATCCCCGAACCCCAGGGCCTCAGCTCCTCCGCTCTTCCTTCCCTCATCCCTCTCGGATGCAAGGAGGAAGATTTGGAAGCGTTTCCTTTACAACTGGACTCTGTACTCAGCTCTGGAAATCCCAGCTTGGAGGGACTGTGGGTTCGCTTGTGTGTGGGTCGGGTGGGGGCGGGCGGGAGCGGGGGCCGGGAGATGCCTCCGGTTGCTGCCTCCCTTTCTAATCCTGAGACGCAGCTGCGTTTCTGCATCCTACAGGCAACATTTTTGAAACAGCAGCTGATTAAATGCTTTCCAGTGATTTCCCCACAAGGCTGCTAAGGTTTGTGTAGTTGGGGAAACAAGTTTTATTTGTGATCTTGGCAAGACATGTCTGGAACCATAAACTTGTTATAGAGCAGAATCCTTCACCTAAAGGGCTTGTTCAAACATATGCAGAGCTTCTGATGGAGCCCAAGAATCTGCATTTCCAACAAATTCCCTGGCCACGATGAAGCCGCTGGTCTGACCACACCTTGAGAACTCTGAGAACACACTGCCATAGAATTTCCCTACTTTATGCCAGTTATTTAACTGCCTTCCCTCTGTCCATTTAATTACTATTTATTGAACACTACTTTGTACCAGGCCCTGGGGATGCCGTGTGAACAGGAGCTGACAATCAGGGAGCTGGAGGAACAAGCGAACAAATACCTCCCCGTGTGCTGGTGATGTATATGGTAACATCTCGGAGAAATGTTTTGATGAGGGGAGCCAGGGAATGAGGTTAGGGTTTTAGAAAGGTGAATCAGGCGGTGATGCAGAAGGCGTTCCAAGGACAGAGAGACTGGAAGGGCTGAGTGGGAGGGCTCGGGAATAGAGGGCCACAAGGAATCAAGGGAGATTTATATTTAGGATAATAAACCACTATGAAACCTATTAATTATTCAGAAACATAATAAACATTATGCAAGTCAGAAGTGTTCAGAGAACATCCAGAAAATAAATAAAATTACAGAGAAGAAGAAAGATTCTAGCCACCCAGAGAACAACTGCTTATGGTTCAAGAAACCTGTAGGAGCAAGCGGACCTGGCGACTCAGGCTGACCTTAAGTTTCCAAGTTGGACGACAAGGGCGGGTGGCAAAGTGTTACTGGAGATAGAGAATTCAGGAGGAAAAGCAGATTCGTGTGGAGGTGGGGTGGGTCATGAGTCCCATATGGGATTGAGCTTATCGTTTGTGCACGGACAGTCCAAGAGGAGGTTGGGAACCTGTGTCCTGAGCTCAGAAAAGAGGGGCACTGGAGGTGTGGTCCCCGAGTTTGACATGAGGGCTGAGGGCGGTGGCTGCCAGCCTAGGAGTTGTAGCGAGTCAAGAAAGGCAGGTGGCATGGGGGGGGTGCCTCTAGACAGACCCTTGAGGAGTGACAGCATGCAGGAGTGGGTAGAGGAAAGAGCTGGCTCAGAACCAGAGGAGTGGCCAGGAGGCCAGAGTGCAAATGCCACAAGCAGAAGCCAGAGGGGAAAAGGACTACCAGAAGCTGGAAGAGGGGCTGTGCAGTGGGCATTTTCATTTACAATGATGCTGTAGCCACTCTGCCCCCCGCCCCTAGCAATGGGAATTCTGAGCAGGAGTGTGTTATAGAAGATCTGTTAGGAAAATAAAATGTCAAAAGGGGTCTGAATTCCTTGGCAATAGTAACAATTTTTCCTTCTTAATGGGTCAGAGGGCACTAATAATTCTGACCATTGTTCCTAAGCCTGTTGGGCCTGGAGCCTGCACTTTTCCTGCAATGCATATGCATATCTGCATTAAAGAGAATCCATTTGGTCACAAAAAAGATATTTGCCTGATGCCTCCTGAACCAGATGCTTTGGGTGCTCTTCACCAGCTCTGGCTCCAGCTGGGCTGGGCAGTTTTCAGTTCTGACAGCATTTCCACCTCACACTTGCAAACCACCCCTCTCCACTTCTCTCGCTCAGAGCTCAGCCCTGGCAGAGGTTCAGTCTGGAAGTAAGAGTGTTAACTCCCCAGAGGGCAACCTTCAGCCAGTGGGGGATGGGAACCCCAGTCTCTCATCTTCTGTATGGACTGTTCTGGAAGCTTCTGGAAACTTCTCAAAGCTCCTTTGCCAGCGGCAGTGAACTTGATAACATCTATTTAATTGGCTTTTCCTCCTTCCTTGTCTTATATGTCTCATTTCTTTCTCATCTCCCAAATAAACCACCTGCCCCACGTCTCTCTCCTTTCAGTATAATCCTACCAAAGGCAGCAACTGTCTATCATGCAGTGTTGGGATACAATGGTGAGCAAAACAGTCACAATCCCTGTGCTCATGGTGCTTCCATTCTAGTGGGGGAGACAACAATAAACAAGAAAAATACATCTCTCATGCATGGCAGGTCAAGGATGGACACACATCCTTATGAGAAAAGTAGAGCAGGGTGAGGGTCTGGGGAGGGCTGGGCAGGGAATCTGCACAGACACATGCAAACCCCTGCCCGAGGATCCTCTGGTAGGCTCTTTGCTGTGTCCTCGCTATGTACCTTACAGAGGAATAGTTTTGCTGAATGGTTTGGACTGAATGCTTTCAGTCCAAATAAAGAAAAGGGAAGTTGTGATGAGAGTTCACCTCATTGGAGAGTTCACTCTTGCTTGGAGGTTGTTTTGTATTTCATCAAATGTGAGATGATAATTACATTTTATCCTAAGCCCGTCCTCTTGTCTCAGGAAAGGAATAACAAAGGCAGTGGCTGCTCTGG